TGTACATTCACATTATTCCAATCAAGAACTGAGTTTAGTATAACAAAACGTGTATTTTTGAGAACTATTAACTTAAATTTTATGTACATTCACATTATTCCAATCAAGAACTGAGTTTCTCTTTAAGTTCAAATCTACTTGAGACAACTTGATGGCTCATGAGACCTATAACGGATCTTGTTTCAATAATCTGTTTTGTTTATTTTGTTAAACTTTCAATGTATATTATTCATAAAAAAAATTAAACTGATTTGATAATCATAATATTTTTTATTTTATCGCATTTGTTTCTGAAAAGATAGACGGCAAGTATATTTTTAAAAATTAACCATTCATTTTTTTAAAACAAACACAATAAAATAAAAAAGTTATAATTATCAAATTAACTTAATTTTCTATGAATCATATATATATATATATATAGGATTTGACAAAATAAATGGTTCAACTAATCAAAACAACTCATCTCAACTTATCTTAAAGTCAGATTTAAAAATGAGAAACCCAATTCGCTAAACAAACCCTTTTAAATAAAAACTGAAGGGCAACTCGCAGAAGCATACCTAACACAAATTCTAAAGTTTGTTTGCGAAAGTAATCTTTCAAAAAGACTCCCACACACGCCTGTGAATAGTTATACGCCATCCAATGACTGGCATTATTAGCTTTCCTTAAATTGATGTAAATAAATGGAATAGAATATACCGTTTGTTTTGGGGTTAAATAGGTAGGAGATGATTAGGATGATGGTGGGGTTATTTAATGCAAAAATGTTAGAGGTCTTAAAAATTTTATCAAAAATTTTACCAAATGTCTCACATGGGTGTGGGACCCACATAGGACCCACATTGTGTGGGTCCGACACACATTTGGTAAAACTTTTAGTAGAATATTTGGGGTCTCTAGCATTACTCTATTTAATGTTGTGTTTGTTTGTAGAGTTGGGGAAGGGATTAGGATAGAAGAGGTGATATAGATGGAGGTTGGAAGGGGGATTGAGATGGAGAAAGTGGAGATGGGATTAGAAAAATAGTGAGAGATTAGAAATTTTTTTATTTTTTATATATTGGGATTTTTTTTTAAATATTAATGTTTAATTTTTTATATTTTTTTATTTGTTTTATTATTTTATATAAAAATAATTTAACAATTCCTACACTAACAACTATCATAAAACAAACACAATTTTACTTAATCACATCACTATCAATCCCCTCACTAATAATCCCCTCACTATGAATCCTCTCCATTCTACCTCTGAAAACAAACAGAGCCTTAGTTATATTAAGAATCCTAAATATAATCCCCTCACTATGAATCCTCTCCATTCTACCTCTGAAAACAAACAGAGCCTTAGTTATATTAAGAATCCTAAATAAATTATAATAATATTAGAAATCTTAAAAATTTTATTAAAAATTTTACTAAAGGTCTCACATGGGCGTGGGATCCCCATATTGTGTGGGTCCCACACCCATGTGAAACATATGGTATTTAGTAGAATTTTTTAGGTCTCTAACATTACTCAATAAATTATTAAATTTTTTATCAAATCTCTTCTATGGATGTGAGACCTACACACATGTGATTTATATACACTTATTTCAGAGATTTAGTAAAAAATTTGATAATTTATTTAAGATCCATATCATTTTTCTATACTAAAATAGAGAATTCCAAGGCCATCTTCTTTTAGTCCCAGGGTCATGGGATTGGGATAGTAATCCATAAGTCTCAAAAAAAATTGTATTTGATTGGAAGAAAAGTTTGTTCCTTGATTGGAACTGTTAAGAGCATCTCCAACCCATCCTCCATATCTTTAAATATGGAGGATTCTCTCCAAAAAACAACTCCAATCCATTCTCTATATCCTTCTTCCAAATGGAGGAGACTCTAAAACACTATTCATTCTATATTTTTTAATTATATTCGAAATAACTTTTAATGTGTAAATTTAATTTTTATAAAAATGACATCAATAAAAAGTATAAAATCATACCTTTAAAATGAGTATAATATTAAATATGTTTTACAAAAATTTTAAAATTAAATATTTATTAATAAACAAAAATTACTTTTTGATTGGAGCTTGAATGAAGGAAATGAAGGTTTGTGGTTGGAGTTTGAATGAATAATGACACCTTCTATATTTACTTTTTGAATAAAAAATATTATTTCCATCCTCTTGAGAAGAGGATGTGGTTGGAGATGCTCTAATACATTTTTAAGGAGGGGAATAGTGATACTATGGAGCCTTTTGACAAGAAGTTAAAAAAGTCAATTTTTTTATTTTTTTAATTTTTTTAGTAAAAAAAAAATTAATTTTTTTGTCAAAAAAGTCAAAAGTCAAAAAATTAACTTTTTACCAACTTCTCAAAACACCTTTATAGAGTCGGAGAGTTGGAGGAAAAAAAGATAATTTTGATTTCTATTTTACAGAAATAATGAAATTTTATTTTAGGAAAATGAGCCGTAGCTCGAAAATCTTGGCTCGAAATTGGCTCGAATGTCGTTTTGGGCGTTTTGGGTGGTTTGAAACAGAGGAGAAAGAGGGAGAGAAGAGAGGAAGAAGAGAGGAGAGGAGAAAGAGGAGGGGAAGAGGGAATGGAGAGAAGAGAGGGCCCCACCGCTTCTGCCGTCGGCCGAGCCCCTCCGCTTCGTCGTAACACCAGCGATCATCGCAGCACCATCGCCGTCGCCTTCGGTCCGCCGAGCCCCTCCCCTTCGTCGCAGCACCACTACCGCCGGCCGAGCCCCTCCCCTTCCTCTTTTCTCCTCCTCCTCCTCCTCCTCCTCCTGCTCCTCCTCCTTCTTTCTCTTTTTCCCTTGTGATTATGTCCCCTCCAGTCCTCTTCCTCCTCCTCCTTCCTTCTCTTCTCCTTCTCTGCTTCTGAAATTGGATTCGAGCCAATTTTGAGCTCGACAATTCATGCTACGTAGCAGTTCCGTTTATTTTATATAATAATTTTTTTAACGGAATTTATCTCCCACAAATTTTTCAAATGACGTGGTAATGTTGGTTAGAAGGTCTTGAGAGAAGATAGAGGCGAGTATAAGAGCATAGGTCGTTGAATTTTTTTTTTTCCGTGGGGTTATTTAATGCAAAAATGTTAGAGGTCTTAAAAATTTAGGGAAAATTATGTGAATTTATCACTGTTGTAAACATAATTTATATTATACATTAAATTTAGGGGTTATTTGGAGTATCCTAAAGGACTAAAAAGTTGAGGAAAAAAATATAGATATTTGGGTTAATTTTTTGACTTTTATGAAAAAATGTGTATGAAAAAATTGTATAAATAAATATACAGGGGAATAAAGTGATGGAATAGGCCGTACGGTTGGAAGCCTAAAGGGCAGCGCAACAAAGGGCAGTGTAAGAGATTGATTCTCTACTTTTCGGGCATAAATTGGTCGGTTCTGTTCAGCCCATGGGAGCCCACCACAGGTTCCGTTTTACTAATCGGAACTGTTCAATCTGTAGAACTCGTCGAGTACTATATGCTTGTAAAAAATCACGTTGATTAGATATCGATAGCTATCTGATCGTGTTGATTTTTTTTATTAACTGTTAACTATAACACCATTCATTTTTATACAAAACTGATTTGGTCATACATTTAGTGATATCCGATGGACGTGATTTTTTACAGGCATATATTACTAGACGAGTTCTACATATTGAATTGTTCAGATTATCAAAATGGGACTCATGGTGGGTCCCTACGGGGCCCAGCTCTACCATCCAATGTAGTAAATATAGTACTATAATTTTTTTTCCCCGGTCATCTACCATCCAATGTAGTAAATATAGTACTATAATTTTTTTTCCCCCGGTCACAGACTCCACCATCACATCAGTACCAATCTGGGGTTTTTTTTTTGTTTTTTATTAATATGTGTATATTATTTTTTTAATATTTTTTTTTGGTGAATAGTGATAGTTTTTAAAATTTTTGGATAGCTTTTTGACTTTTTAAAATTTTCAAGGGTTGCTAAACTTGGCCTTAATATCATTATATTAATAATCTTCTTATTAATAATAGATTGGGCTTCTCTCCGATCCTTAATCAGACTACAAAAGTGTTGTTCGGCCCATTGAGCCTACTTTTGAGACCCATTTTAATTATCTAAACTATTCATATTTTATGATTAGTTGACTATATCATGTCTACAAAAAATCAAGTCGTAGATAATGATAAGAATTGTTTATTTTTTTACTATTCAATTTTTTTATATAAAATTGATTCGAATATATGATTATCGTTATTCGATCAATTTAAATTTTTACAAAAATAATATACCAAACGAATTCTAAAAGTAAATTTAATGAGCCAAGGAACACTCCAGTCCAATAAAGGGGGTGTTTGTTTGGGTTTTTTTGAGCTAATTTATAGTTTTTGATTTTTGAAAAGTTATTTTGAACTGTTTAGTTAAACTTATTTCAAACAGTTTCTGATTCTAACAACTTATTTTAAGTCAAAAAAACTGATTCTAAAAAGCTGCTCATCTCTTACTTTTGATTATCAATTTCTGCTATGAACATGTTAATTTACGATTATACTCTTAAATTTTTTTTATTTTTTACTCTCACAAAAAAAAGCCAAAAAGCCAAAAAGCCAAAAAGCCCTTCCCAAACCAAGCTTTTTAGCCCAGGCTAAAATAGCCAAAAAAGCCAAAAAGCCAAAAAGCCAACCCACTTCCCAAACGGAGGCTTATTTTAAGTCAAAAAAACTGATTCTGAAAAGCTGCTCATCTCTTACTTTTGATTATCAATTTCTGCTATGAACATGTTAATTTACGATTATACTCTTAAATTTTTTTATTTTTTTAAAAATATAAAAAGACTCCAATGTACACTAGAATATTATTATTATTTTTTATAAAAAATATATACAAATAATAAATAATAAAAATTAATTAAAAAAATTACTTTATAATTTATTTAACAAATATTACTTAACAATTTATAATATATTTTAACAGTTACGTAGGGCAAACCCATTCAACTCACCTCCCTCCTTTAAATCTCTCTGTGGTTATTGATCCATTCTTGTTCTCTCCCATCGCTTTGATTTTTCAGTAAAATTTCCTTCTTTTTCGGGTCTCTTTCAGTAGATTTCAATTGAGTTTTCCGACCCAATGTTTTCTACATTCCTTGTGCATTCTCTATGATGCAGATCTGTCTTCTTCAATCCTTCTCTGTCGTCTTTCTTTATTGGTTCTATGTCTTCTCAGAGGAACCAATCAATTACATTACTCTAAATTTGATTTGATTTGATTGTTTTCTTCAGATTTCCCATCTTGTGTTGCATTCAAATCCACACTCCAAACCCACATCATCATTCCTTGTAAAAAAATCCTATTCTTGGGTATATACCCATTTCATTGAATTGCAAACCCAATAACAATGTCAACCCTGAAACAGACCAGCAGTGGCTCCACCACATCAATTGGGGACCAGAGATACGAGGGCATGGATGAGAGGAAGAGAAAAAGGATGATTTCGAACAGAGAATCCGCCAAGAGGTCTAGGATGAGGAAACAGAAGATAGTTGAGGATTTGAGGAATGAAGTGAGTCGAATCCAATGCGAAAACAATGAAATTGTGGGCCAAATTGATGAGACTAGCATGGGTTACATGGTGTTTTTGACACAGAACAATGTGTTGAGGGCTCAATTAGAGGAATTGACAGAGAGGTACAGGTCCTGGATTAGTCTCCTCAAGATTACTGGGTTAAATTTGGAGATTCTTGATATTCCTGACCCCTTGCTCAAGCCGTGCCCGTCACAGCCTGTCTTGGCCTCCCCGACGTTCTTTCAGTCATGATCATTGTCCATTTTCAACAGCATTGGGGTTTGGTTCTGTTTCCTTATCTACTTTGATTAAATGTTTGTGTTAGATTGATTGTGTATTCATGGGTTTTTTTATTTTTATGTTGGAGATTGTGGTTTGAATTGTTGTATATGGAGATTGTTGTTTGAATTAGGCTGTGGGATGATTGTTTTGTTTATTTTTGTGATTTGGAGGCCACGATTGTTTAAAGTTTTTGGAAAACAATTAACAGGGTAGAAAGGCAATTGAAAGATGTGATAATGAGAATTTGGAATTATAAAATTTTAGCTGCTACAAAATTATCTTAAATAGTCTAATTAATGTGATACATCGCCCCTGTTCATACATAATCCGTTAAAGGTTGTAAAAATATGGTTAAGGCATGCATTGCTCATTTTTAGTTTGAATAATGCTTGGGACCCCTTTTGGGGTCACCCCTCACCCCCCTTTGCCACGTGACAGGGGGTGATTGGTGGAGCAGGAAAAAAAAGAAAAAGAAAAAGAAAAGGTGACCAATGAGAGAGAGAGGGGGTCAAAGGGGGTGGGGAAAAAGGGGATGAATCATTACTCTTTTAGTTTTGACTACTGTGGTTGGAGATTGTGGTTTGAATTGTTGTATATGGAGATTGTTGTTTGAATTAGGCTGTGGGATGATTGTTTTGTTTATTTTTGTGATTTGGAGGCCACGATTGTTTAAAGTTTTTGGAAAACAATTAACAGGGTAGAAAGGCAATTGAAAGATGTGATAATGAGAATTTGGAATTATAAAATTTTAGCTGCTACAAAATTATCTCAAATAGTCTAATTAATGTGATACATCGCCCCTGTTTATACATAATCCCTTAAAGGTTGTAAAAATATGGTTAAGGCATGCATTGCTCATTTTTAGTTTTGACTACTGTGTTACAGCTTACACGTGTAAACTTAAGGTGTTGAAAGACCATTAAAGATGGCATTGGCAAATAATATTTTAAGAGTTGAGGGTTTCAATTGTTTCTTTTTTTCTTTTTTTGGTTTGTTTGTGTGTGTGTGTGTGTTGGAGAAGATCTAGTATGGCTCTCGTAGTTCTGGACTTATTTGCAACCTCACCTGGAGAAACACTGGGACTAAAAAACAGAATGTGTAGGAATAAAAAGAGTTTATGGTGCATATGATTTGTTATAGTTATACAAGGAAAATACAAATTTCTTAGTTCCAATCATGCTTAATTGAAAGAGACCATGAGAGACTTTCTTGTAAATGACTATTTGATCCTGTGCTTTGGTGAAGCCTGGTCCTGGAAATACTTGGGATAAAATCAGCATATTCATGTTTGTTTGAGCTGATAACTTTTCAGCTTCTTGTCTATCTTTTTTTCTGGCAGCAATATGAAACCACTCAATATACATATGCATGTTGGTTTCATAGGGTCGTGTGACAACGAGGACTTATTAATAATTTCAGTTTGTTTACCATTATGTTCGAAACATCTGTAACTTGTTCTTCAGAGAATTTGAAACTAGTGGCAGCTGATGAGTTTGTTGAATAAAAGAACCAGTATATACATTTGCTTTGAAGGTTTTTAGAACGAAATGCTCAACTTGTTTGCTTTTTTTGCCTTCTAATGGATGGTAAGAGGAAATGGTATACTGCCCTTGAAGGTGGAGAGGAAGCTAGACCCACTGGTTATAAGGCTAGCAATTATTGGGGTGACAAGAGTTGTGTATCAAATACTAATTCAACTATATTGCTATATTTACCATCTATATCACATTTGATATACCATATTATGTGGCCCAATCACAACCAATAATACAATGGGTCTCACATTCATTTCATCAATAGGCAATGGTTATGATTGCAATAATGCTAGGGATCAAGAATTGAGTCTAAAAATAAAAAAATAAAAAAAAAAGACCAAGAAAAATAATGTGTGGTCTAGATTCAACACTTGTGTGGTGGGACTTACACTTTGAATAAATATGATTTCACACTATTTTTCTTCATCTTTTTCTTTGTCTTAGTTCCTGGACCCTGGCATTACTCTCATGATTATGCCACATCATATGGTATACCAAATGTGGTATAAAAAGATAGTAAGAGTAGCATTATTGTTATTTTAAAAGTGAGTCCAACTATGGATCACGGCTATATTTAGGAGTGATCTTTTGGCTATGGAGTGACTGAACTACTGGACCAGAGGTGGCTGAGAATGTTATGTTAAAAGGGCCAACAACAATGAGAGAATAGGGAGTAGGAGTAGGACAGAATTGAATTATTGTGAAGGAAAGACAATGAGAGAAAGCCAAAAGGGGAAAGCACTTAGACAATTCACTTTGGGCATGTTTGATTGGAAGGTTTAAAGTATGGGATTAGGATTATTAATCCGTGGGCCCAACCATGCTATGTTTGTTTTGACATTTGGTTTAGGACTATTAATCCAATGGATAATTAATCCAACAAATTTGTAGGATAATTAGTAATGGGGTAGGGGTGGGATAGTTAATACCACACTAATTTGATAGGATTATTAATACCTCACTATTAGTATTGTGAATCAAACATGGCCTTTGAGTACTGAGAAATCTGCTAATAGGAATTTCTTAGGGCATATTACGGTTTTTCACTGAGGGGGTGGATCAAAGCAATTGTACCAAAGGATTGATTTGAAAGGAAGCACGTGGTGAGGGAGTGTGTGAAGCCCTACTTGTATGATATTAGACCTGCTCATGTAGTGGGAGCATGCAGTTGAGAAAGCACTAGTTAATACTGTTAATACTTCATCACAGGGCCTGACTGCTAAAGACGCAGCAAAACAAGCCCAGCACAATGAGCAAAAGCAGAAAAATTTGCAACTCAACAAAGCCAAGCGCGTCATAGGCCTTATCATTTCTTCAGGATGGGGAATTTTTTTTTTTTTTTTTTTTTTTGAAGCAAATTTTATTTTGGGGGTAAGATGACAGAAGGGTTCCTCAGGGGTAAGATGACAGAACCTTGTTTGGCTGCTATGTTGTTGACAGTTGTGAAGCGAACAAAACTAAAGTCTAGGAGACTTCTGCTTTTGAAATTTCTGAAGCTTCACAGCATTCATGTCCTTACTGAAGCTCTGAAGCCCATGAAGATCTTGGATTAAGGTCCATACTGCTTATGATATTCTTTTCTATAAATTATGAGTCAGAACAAGCGCTGTTTGACGCCTTTTCCATTCAATATTCATATAGAAATTCATGGATGGGTGGTGGTAATTTATAGTTTATTTTTAGTTGTAATGAAAAATTGTTTTCACTTTGGCAGGAAACCATATTTTTGTGTTTGGAAAATGGGGGAGACCCCATTGGAGGTGACCCCAGCACCCGAGTGGGTGCCCCAAAGGATTGATTGGCCCAATTTTTTTTTCTTCATTCTCTCTTGGACCCCACGTGTATGTGAGGGTGGTGGGGGTCACCCCCAACTGGGGTTTGCAGCATGATTGTTTGTGTTTATGGAAGCACTTAGGGACATTATAATGGGGGAAATGGGGGAAAAAAAAAAAAAAAAGGGGATGGAGAATCCCTGTGCATAAGAGATTTGTAGGATAATTTTCATTGTATTTAAATAAATTAATTATGTTTGTATACTAAAAGACAAATAGAATACAAAAGAAAAATAGAAAATGAGAGAGATTGTTTGATTACAAAAATCAAACCAATAAATAAAAATTTATTTTTATTTTGTTACGAAAACAAAATTAAAATCAAAATCTGATTTAAATAAATAATAATAAAACAGAAAATAAATTAACTTATTTGATTAATTTCTTGAACAATATTCTGATCAACTCTAGTGTTTAACACTCTGTCCTTAAGACAGATTCGTCCTCTTCACGATACTTTCAAAATATGGACATCTATCTCTCAGGATAAAATGATCAATCAACGAAAAATAGCAGCACTACAAATTCTTTTGTACAACGAACACACAAAGTGTTTATACTCTTTTTCACAGAAATTTAGATACAGCAAAATACAGAGAAGGCAGACAATATTTTGAACGGAAAAATTGAATGAATCATCAAATGAGGGCTAGTCTATTTATAGATGTAGTGACACCTTTTTATTTTGAATTGAACAGCTACTGCATCTGCTAGATTTAAATTGGTACTGTTTGGGTTCAAACTTGAACAAATTGAAACCGAATTGCACATATTTGAATTTGTCCGTTTTTTTGAAATTCAATTCTGTCCGGGTGGAAAAAAATGGACCCAATTTCGAATTTAATTTTCAAAATTCAAATTATTAGAATAATAAAATTCAAATGTATTTTGCTTAAAAGATAGGGTATTGGGCTGGACAAACTTAACCCAACCTTATACCATGCACCCGCGCCTAGCTTGCCCGACTGGCGGCGGCACACATGTGGTAATTTTTGGATCCAATGGGTCTAGCCCATAACCTCCCTCTTTACAAAATTTGGGTGTCCCTTGGGGCCTACCCTAAGTTCCAACTCTAAGTTTTATAAACCCACTTAAAGTTTCCCATCAAATCATTGTGGAACAAGCCAATATTCAAACCTTCAGGAATTTTTATCAAAAACTCCATTTCCATGGAACTTACTTTGGTTTCAATTTTCCATTCACCCGATAATGGTTTTGAGCTACCAAATATACCACGTGAATCACAACGCGGCATAGAACGCGTTACTACTTAGACCCGCCAACTTTGGTGCACGAGTCCTACCTAAAAATAGACCAAAATCAAGAAAAAATTCTATTTTTATCCAGATTTTTTCAAAACATTTCTAACAAGATTTGATGTCATGCTAATTTTGAACAACTCAATACACGAGGCTTTTGTTAAAGCAGAGATTGAGGAGGGAATGAGATTTTTGATGTTATGGTAATTTTGTTAAACTATAGAAGATTGACTCAGTGCATTACACTCTCATTGAAGCGAAGTTTCTTTTTTTTTTTTTTACGCTCTCATTGAAGCAGAGTTTCTTTTTTTTTTTATCAGTATTGAAGCAGAGTTTGAAGAGGCTAAAATGCGTGTAGACTTGCGGAAATAAAAATATGTAATGGGCTTTTTTTTATTTCTTTCCAATGGACTCAGAATTTTTGTGGACATGGACTTGGCTGGACTATGGATCTGTACTATTTATTAACATTTTCTGTCAATGTATATTTCATGGCTAATTTGTGGACTACAGTTGTTTCTATTTTTTAATTCCCGTAATTACTTTTTCAATCTAATCTTGGGGAGTAAATGAAATTATTCAGAAACTGACAGACAAACAGAAACAATTGGCATCCACAAAGACAAACATAAATTATTTTCTTC